GTGCTGCAGAGGCTGCTGACAGCTTCACAGCACTGCGCTCAACCTGCTGGGCCACTGGGGAGGGCACAAAATTTCTTTTTTTTTTTTAATTTATTTATGCAAGAACCGGGGTATAGGCCAGATGCGCGGGAGGGTGAGAGGATTCACCAGAGACAGAGCGGAGAACAGAACAGGCAGACTGATGAAATGCACTGCTGAGGGAAGCAGCGGTTGCGACAGGAGAGGTCTGCCGCGCCATGTGGGACCCTCGCGGGCAGGCCAGGAACGAACTGGCCCTGCAGAGGCTGCGGACAGCTTCAGAGCGCGGCGCTCAACCACCTGCGCCACCAGCGGAGGCCCACAATTTGTTTTTAATGAAAAAAAAAAATCACCTGTTCAGGAGTCATAAATGAAGAACAAGTTACTAATACATGTAACAGCATAGATCTATATCGAAAAACAATATTTGAGGACCTCCCCGGTGGCGCAGCGGTTGAGCGCTGGGTTGTGAAGCTGCCCTCAGCCTCTGCAGCGCTGGTTCGGTCCCTGGCTGCTCCCCGGCCACCGGAGGAGGGTCCCGCATGGCGCGCAGACCTCTCCTGCCGCCCGCCGCTCCCCTCAGCAGTGTACTTCGTCAGTTCACCTGCTCTGCTCTCTGCTCTGACTCTGGTGAATTCTCTCACCCTCCTGCACTTCTGACTGTACCCAGTGCTTGTATAAATGAATAAATAAATCTTTTTAAAAAAATGATATTTGAGCAAAAGAACCCTGACAAAAAAGAATAATACTATGTGTCTCCATTTATATGATAGTCTAGCTTGCACTGTCAGATGTGGTGGCTACATCTAAGCAAGTACATTTTCTTAAAACACTTTTGTTCTTCAGTCATATTGGCCACATGTGGCTAGTGGTTACCATGTTGGGTACAGAAAAATTAGAATATTTCCTTTATTGAAGAAGGTTCTTTTTGATAATGCTGTTCTAAAAAATATACGTCATATATATAATGACAAAAAGCAAAATGATGCTTTAGTGCCAGGGCAAGAGGAGTGAGTACGCAGACATATGGGGAAATTTTGGGGTGATGTAATGTTCTACACCTTGGTTTTCATGGAAACTACATTGTATACAATGTGTCAAAAACCTCAAACTGTACATTTAGAATGACTCATTTTCATTCTGTAATGTTTGTGGCAATAAGGTTAATTCTAGAATATCAAATGTTTTTTGGAATTTTTTTTAATCAGTTACAATGTTTATCATTATTTTTGCACAGATAAAATCACGCTATTCATTCATTGGACAATATTTTGCAAGTCCCAGGTGGTTCGGAGTTGAATCAAATAGCAAACTCATGGTCAAGTTGCCCACTTTCCAGTGCAGGCAAGGAAGTACACGTATGTGAGTGCAGATTTAATGATTCTGGACTTTGGAGATAGAGATGCTGCTTTATACCTGGAGAGATAAGAGAGGTTTCTTGTTCAAGGGATTTTTGACATGTGAACAAATGCTGTCATGGCTTAAAGACATTCTGGATGTAGGACAAAAGATGGTCTGAGACAAGAGACCCCAGAAAAATTATAATGTAGCAGAAACAGTGCTTAAACGGAACTATTTTGGAAACTATTTTCAGGGACATGTTTGTGTTATGAAAACCTGAGTTTTTCTGCTGCTCAAAGCAGGGAAGGAGAAAATATTCCCTTCTTTTATACTATATCCCAAGTTCAAGACCCTAAATGCTGCTGTTTCCATATGTTCTCCTCTTCATACAAATCAAATGCCTTTTTTTAATTTTTTTAATTCTTTTTTTTTAAATAGAGGCATGTTTTATTTATTTATTTATTTGTTTGTTGTTTGTTTTGTTTATACATGGACTGGGTACAGTCAGAAGCGCGGGAAGGTGAGAGAATTCACCAGAGCCAGAGCAGGGAGCAGAACAGACAGACCAATGAAAAACACTGCTGAGGGGAGCAGCGGGCGGCAGGAGAGGTCTGCGCACCATGTGGGACCCTCCTCAGATGGCCGGGGAGCAGCTGGGGATCGAACCGGCGCTGCAGAGGCTGCGGGCAGCTTCGCAACCCAGCGCTCAACCGCTGCGCCACTGGGGAGGCCCTTGTTTAAATTTTTTTAAAGATTTATGTATGCATACAAGAACTGGGGTACAGGCCAGAGGTGTAGGGGGTGAGAGGAGTCAGCAGAGACATAGTGGGAAGCAGAACAGGCAGATCCACTGAAATACACTGCTAAGAGGAGCAGCGGGTGAGTCAGGAGAGGACTGCTCTGCCATGTGGGTAGCTCCCTGGCCAGGTAGCAAACTCATGCTGCAGTGGCTACGGATAGCTTCATAGTGCTGCGTCTTAACCCTTGCCCTACCAGAAGGCCCACAAATCAAATGTCTTTACAAAGACCATCATACAGACATGTAGGTATAGGTCATGTTCAGAAACTCAGCTGCCTTCTCTTATACTTCAGTGTTTTATTCTATTACAGTCTCTGCCTAGTAGACTTTAGGTACTGAAAAATCATCTAACTGGTACACTTAAGTAATAATTCATGTATTTGTATAGTAACCTGAGTCTAGGGGGAAAGGGATATAATGTAAATGTAAATGACAATTATAATGATTATAATATAATTATCACTTATTTTCCCAGCTTGTGATGGGCTGTATGCTATGGGTATGCTGCTGAATCCTGGTGATATTTCCTTGTTGCCACTGGTCAAGGTACCTGTCTGCATTTATTTCCATAATGCAATAAGAAGCAATATTTTTCATAATTATTTGTATATATTTTTCCCTTTAATATGTACCTCTTAGCTAATTAAATTTGGGATTTTTTTTAATAACAACTATTGATTTCAGGACATACATTTTACATGGTCTTTTCTTCTATAAATTAATTTACAAAGCTTTTGAAATTAAAAACATGCTAAAATATTTACAAATTGATCATTTACTTGGGAGTCTAGAAACTGTGCTGATAATGTAGAATATATAGAAGAGTCCTTTCCAAGTTTTCAGAAGGAAATGAGTATCAAGCCTGCAAAGCTCAGTAGGTGTTGTCAAAGTGTGAGGCCAGGACTCTCACTCTCTGCACTGGCGTCACAAAGGAGCATGCTGAAAAGGCAGACTCTAGGGCTTCACAGCAGACCTACTGACCAGACCTACTGAAACAGAATTTCCATTAACACAATTTTCAAGTAACTCAAGGATACGTTAACATTTGAGGAGCTCTGTACTAGAAATCATTATTTCACCTGTTATTTTAAAAATGGGAAAGTCGAGGCCATATGTGATGAAACAACTTGGCCAAGGTCAGAAGAAATAGAGTATTTTTAATAAAGAAGTCTTTATATTCAGGTCATCTGTATTTGCCAGTTGTAGGGAGGAAAGCCAAACACTTTAACTCCAATTAACAAATCTATAATTAATTAGTAAAATGATCTTCCCTTCAGGTTTCACATTTTGTAGAACAAGCTGTTTGATTTGGCTGGGGCTCAGGTCGGCGTGTTTATGAATTTCACAATTCACAGATGTTAGACACTCTCAGGCTAAGTAAGGGAAGAGAATGTCAAGTTTTAAATAGCTTCTCTCTCCTCTCCTGGCTGAAGCAATAAATAAAATATTTTTATGAAACGCATTTTGAACCAGAATTTTTTTTAATAAGGAAATGTCAAATTTCTTAGAAAAGGACTTGTGATTGTCTCATAACTTTGACAACTACTGATGTCACGGATTCACAGGTGGTCTATGGTTAGTGGCTGAATAGAGGATGTGAACTTGCCACATGGTAACACTCGGGCACACAAACTAGTTTTTTTTTTTTTTTTTTTCCCTGTTGCAGTCTATTTTAATTTAGCTTCTGAATCATATTTCATTGAATTTCCAAATCCACAAATCAAGGATAGATTTACAGACTGTATTCAGAAAGGAAATAAATAATTCTGCATGTTTTAAACTTTTCCTGATATTAGTTTTTGGATAAATGAATAATATTACACTTTTACTCCAAAGTAGATCAAGTCAAAGCAAAGCCAAGACAAATAAGCAAATGAGATAGACTGATAGAGATTGAAATAAATTCTAATGCTATTAGTCAGCAATTTTGAATAATTTTGTAAGCTTCAAAACAATATAAAATAACATACTATTTCTCATTTAAATCACTTGAAAAAAAAAAAAAACTCTGTGTGTGTGTGTCAGAGAGAGAGAGAGAAATAGGAAATAGGATAATTCAAAACTCAAAAAAGTTACTTTCTTTTATTGGGCCAAGCAAAACGTCTAAGTGGTTATGAATGGATATCTCTTTCTCTTGGTTGAGATGAAGAGTGAGTTCTAGGTTAAATATAATCAAGGAATTTCCCTGTCTTTGCTATTTGAGATTGTGACCACAACAGGCGGCTGGCTGAAAGAGGGAATGGTGGGGGGGAGGGTTTGTGGGGGTGGAGACAAAAAAAAAAAAAATAACACCAAAACTTCCTAAGCAACTCCGTCAAATTTTTAGCTCTAGAAGCAGTTACAGAAGTCCTTAGATCACATCAGTATGCAGATACAAGGAAATATTAATTACTGTATTCGGGTGGCCACTCATCAGCTCAATTCTGTGACAAAAATCCAGGCTGCTGAAATTAAACTCTGATGCCATTCATGCCAGCATCCAATCATCAGAGAGACCAGAAGTTCAGAGATGCTTCCAAGTTGCCAACAAGTGTGGCCACTATACGTCAAAGACTCTAAAGCCGTGGTGGAAGGGGAACAATTTCAGAAAGGATGCCCAGCTGGTAAGAATCCACTGTTTCTGATGTTTTAGTCACTTGATGAATCTCATTGGCTGACATCAAGAAATGCTCCGCCTCTTTGCAAATGTGTGTGAAGTGGGGAAGTGTCTAAACTTCTATGTCTGATAGCATTTGACCCTATCGCTTTTAGCCTCCTGACTTTCTATCTATATATAATAGGTATATGTGTATATGTTATATCATTATTCTCCATTTATCGATATCAAAGAGAGTTGAAGGAAATGAATTTTGAAACTTCACGGTGTGCTACCCTACAGTACTGTCCCGACCCGTACATCCAGCGGTGAGTTAAACGTGACGTAACTTCTATCAAAACTTAACTAGAATGCCTTGTGTAGCATGAGTGTTTCTGCTGTGTACAGAGAGCAGCCCGTCCTTGTGTTTGAGCACAGTGATGTTATTTGGGCTTTCTGTGGACTTGAAGTAGTTGTGGGCATCTTTTCTAATTTCCTTTTTAAATTCATGTTTGGATGTACAAAGTGACAAAGTTTGAAGGCAGTCTTCCCATAGTTTCTTAAAATATCATCACACCATCTGAAACTTTTAAAAATATTTTATTTGCCTTGTTTAGAACTCACCCACCCAAGGAGAAACTTCACTGGGCAGGACCATAATAACCTGTGGATGATCTTCAAGTCAAAATAAATGCAGAATAATTTTGATTTATATATTAAAAAAATAGATAAATAGCCATTGTTATGCCAAACAGATTGCGGCTTGTCATTTTGGCTCTGAGGAATGTTTTCTCTTTGATTTGTTTCATAACAAACATCATCTTTTGACAAATCTTGACTTTTAAAACCTATGATTAGCCTGAATTTTATTTGTGTTTATAGGAAGGAACATTTGCCTAGTACTAAGAAGGAATATTAGTGAGCATGCACGATGTGTGTGTATGTGTTTCAAATTAGAGTTTGCTATTTTTAAACTGGTAAGTGAAATCTGAACAGTGTTTTTCCCGTCATAAAGTTATGGGAGATATTCAAGTCGTATGGAGCAGTGTGATGTTGTTAATTTAACAGCATGATATTTGATGTTGGAATTTCATACTTTATGTTGTAAGACTAATGAGAGAGGTCCTCTGAGTGCTGAAAACAGTGGGGGCTCCAAAGGGGTTAACTTGTCATTCACCACGGATGGCTGTTGGACTGTGACCCCAGAAGTGGAGTGGGTCCTCTAGGCAGGGCTCCGTTGCTGGTGCATTGCCTAGGGAATTATGGAAGATACGTGATCTTTTTTCATTAATATGATTTGTCACCACATGGAACATTAATGAGGACAATGCAGCTTTTGCTTTTCTTCCTGTGAGGTTTAGAGTAGGCTGCTTGAGAAAACAGAAGAGGAAAAGAAAGATTTAATGGTAAATGAAACAGTGGAGAGAGAAAAGAGAGGGAGAAAAAGCAGAGAGAGAAGAAGCGAGTTTGTGTTCTTACAGGTTGAAAAGGGAAGTGTGAATAGTGATTTCAGCCCTGCCTTGCTGTCTGTGATGAGCAACGGTTATTAACAAAAGTGAATGGCTGAGGAGTTTACTGTTCTTGCATAACTTGAAAATTAGATTTAGTTGAAGGTGGGAACTGGGTCCATAAAGTACAAAACACCAGAGATTTTCTAGTTCTCAAGATTTCTTATTACACTAAATATTTTGTGAAATAATATTTCTATGAATATAATTCTCATGAAACAGTTGCCATATGATGCCTCATTTGAGGGCATCTCTCTCTTAAAGTAGGTACCTGGATCAATGTGAGTTTTAGAAGGTTACTTCTGTTGATTAGTAATGCACACATGAACCTGTGTCCCCCCAGAGGCATTTCTAATGACTGATGAGAGAAAACTGTAAATACCAATACATGAGGAAATTGCTTCTCCTATTGTCTCAATAAATCATTAAACCATGGTGCAAATGTCATCTATATTTTTGACAGATTGTAAAATTCTGAGTAATAATGGTATTTAAAAATAACTTTAAATTTTGCAGGAATGTACTAAGCTTTCATGGCAGCTGAATGTCACTTTTGGGGAAAGAAGGGAAGCATGTTGGGGAGTTACTATGAGACTGTGGTACAGAGTGTTCAGGAAACATCTATTTGGCTGTTTTAGGCAAGATTGTGTCCTTTCCATTTGTAATAAAAACTTAACTGGCAAATAAAAGAAAAACTGTGTTACTGAGCATCTACCTTGTATAATGTATTAGAAATATCAAGCAGTAAGATATGGCTGTAATGTTTATTTTTTAACTCCAAAGTACCTAGATACTTAAAAACAGATTGATATTGCTCCATTACTTTAATGGTTTTGCCACATATTTTGTAAGGACTGAATATTTACTATTTCCTTTTTTTGATACTGAGTGAATTAGCAAATTAATAAGTAAAATATCACTATAAGAAATCTATGGTACTGTATATCATCAATGCAAGAGTCAAACAATATTCTCTTTGATGCTTAATGAGTAAGTGGATTTGAGTTGGTTTTTCTAAGCAGTCAATCCTTGCAGTTCTCAGTTTACAAAATCTATTTTAAGAAAGACCAAATTTAGTCATTCTATATTCATAGTCTTCTACATAGTTAAATTTGTCTTTTTCCTGACCTCGTCTTTAGAAAGAAAATATGAAAGAGAATTTTCAAAAGAGGAAAGAACAAGATATCTTATTATTTTTAACTCCAAGCTACCTTAATGCATGAATTTCCTTTCATCACAGAAAAGAATGAAATAGAGATGCTATTATCAACTACTGCTGAATGTTAATGCCGCCCCCATTCCAAAGTACCATACATTTCAAAGTATTATGATAATCATTTTTTGAATCAAAAGTGAGATTCACCCTTTGTTTTTGTCTTTGCATCTGATATATTAACATATAATTACACATAAGTTTTGATCTGATGATGGTGATGATAATTTAGTCTTTGCAAAAAACTTTCTGAATATCAAAAAAACAGTCACACTCTAGAGCTTAGATTTTTCCTTTTGATGAGATTGACCATTTCACAGAGAGAAGGTATCTTGTCATTTTGTTGTTAACATAATTTTAAGAAAAATGTTAAAGCATAGATGAAAATTTGCAAAAGCTATAGGTCAGAGCTGAGTCGGTTAGCATTTCCTTATAAATGAAACCTATACATAATGCATATTTTTTTATATTTTAATTAGGTTAATATTCAAAATGAACCCAGAATTTAATCTTGTTAAGAGAATCTAGAAGAAAAATCTTGGCTTATTTATTATTGTTTGTGTTATAATTTGGGCCTTCCTGTATTCTTTTGTTTTTAGAATTACCATCTAGATTTTAAAATAGATTTTTAAGCAAGTAATTCCAACAAATTAAATTATTTTAAAAATCACATTTAAAATAACTTGTTTAAAGTAATAAAAATAAATCAAGATTAAATTTTGAAGTGGTGTGCTTAGAGCTAGACACAAGAGAAAAATAATTCCTAATACAATTTGAATAATTTATAAAATGTTTTTGTATTTTAACTATTTTTTTTAGTTACCCTCTACTCAAAAGAAACATCACTATTTCTTTTAAAATACTGAAAGGATGATTAAGATGTATTTCCTGTGTAAATGGCGTATTGATTGTGGATTTTATGCTTTTCTAACTTAAGGGTCAACTATATTAACTGTGCTTTCTAAATATATCCCAAAAGGAACTTACAGTAAATTTATTGTGCAACATCATTTCATTTTTTCAGTTTAAATCTCAAAAAGGCAGATGTAGTGTTTTTTTTTTTTTTTTTTCCCACTTGCCCCTCCACATCTGTGCTCCATCCTTTTCTGTCTTGCTCTGTACTCCAGGAAGCTGACTTCTGAATTGCACTAGCAGTTCCTTTCTCCTCTGGCATCCTTTTGGGTTCACAGTGGGGACCTCTAGGAGGGGGGTAGAAGGGCACAAAGAGAGTAAAGTCGAAATACCTGTGTCCCTGGCTACTTCTCCTCTGGATTTTCTACTAAAAACTGCAGGTCTCATTGGATACCCTTACCACAGATCCAGCACTCTGGAGTTCGAGGAACTGTTCATTGCTCTCCCATTCCCTCAAACTTAGGGATGGTAATCATTTTCAGTCACTGCTACTTGTAAATAATCATACCATATCCCTTATCCCTGGATAAATAGTTCTTTATTTAAACTCTCTTCAAATTGCCCTTTTCTCATGGGTTCATTAATTTGATCATGATCCTGATAAATGCAATTTATATTTATATATATTTATATATAAATATGTATATAAATATATTTATATATTTATATATATATATATCTCCACAATGTTGTTTATGTGTGTATGGAGACTTCAATAATTGATATATAATAAAAATAATTTCTGATATAGGGTAAAGGTTGCATCTAACCATTTCAAGGAGTAAGCCAATATAATGAGAGTAATCTATTAATTTTAGTCATTTCCATAAGCAGTAAGTCTCTCTGACTAAAAGAAATTAGTCAACATATTGCTGTCTGTGTGCATTGTTCATATCTGTGTTTGAAATGAAGCAAGGCAGAAAGCAGGAAGAATTGGTCCATCAAGTAATAATGAAGGTACAATTTATCAGCTAGGACTAATGTATCCACTAGTTGTAACCAAGGGAAAAACTTCTTCAAACCCTTAAAGTTTTCACAAGACCTTGTAGGTTCCAAAAGATCTTTATATCTTTTAGTTAATTCAAAGTATGATGTTAATAATTCTTGTATGCTGCTCCTGAGCTGTGAGTGCATTTAAATGGTAGAGAGGCAGAAAAGTGTGTTTGTTGAATGCACCTTAGATTTTTCAAGGTATCTGGATTGTAGTCTTAACTTCATCATTAACTGATTATGTGACCTTCATGAAACCACTTAAGCTATCTAGATCATAAGGTGATTAGACATAACAACTTCTGATCTACTTTTCACAAATAAGACTGAGAATTAAAAAGGAACCCCGCTAAACTCTGAGATGCACCTTCACTGCATTGCTTAGTTCTACTATTGTGTGTCTAGCATACCAGTGGGCTGATGGTTTCATCACAGGAACACTTATATTCTCATGTAGGCATACCTTAAGTTCCATTTTATCGATATCATTTTTAAATTAAGAACAAATATTGTTGTGGTTCTTGCTAATACCTTGTTTTTTCTTTCTTAGTTCTTGTACTTTAGAATTGAGAAATCTTAATCCCAGTGGGATTAAACGATTTGCCCAAGATCATGCAACAGAATAGGAACAGAATAAGATCTAGGATTTGGCTCCCACTTCAATGATATTTGTACCATAAAAGAAAGTATTTTATTATATTCGTAC